GGTTTGTTATAATTAGTTATATTGTGCTGGTTCTCGTCTTTTATTGAAGTAAGTAAGCCTGGTGGGAATGAAGAGTTTTTGTGTGGAGTGTTGCTGAGACTGTGTGCGCGTGTGTGTTTGTGTGTGTGTGTGCGCGTGTGTGCGCATGTGTGTGATGCGTGTGATGTGTGTGTGCGTGCTGTTGCTTTTGCTTTTTTGCCTTTATCGCAATTTATTTAACAAACTATAATCTTAGTCACACTTGATGAAATATATAAATGCTTAAAGGAAGTATTTTTCTTAAGCATGACACGTAAACAATGAGGCATCCTCACGTAATGAAAACATAAACATAGCAACATTTACGCAACCCCGACATTCCTATCGTTAAATAAACAGTTTGGTCAGTCTGTTTAAAAATAAAATTAACATCTGGCAACGACGAACGAACGAACGAAATCTCCGAACGCTGGCAACTTAGCGGCGCAGATAAAAATAACACGAGTGCAGTCTGTCCATGCGATACAACTCATAGATGTCTCGATGTAATAGACATCTATGAATACAACTCTACTTAACTATCGTTACAGTATTATATTTGCATCTGTGAAACGAGACGATACAAAAAATACGAAACGAAAAAAAGCGAAAACAGAAATGAAGATGCTTATTAGAAGTATTAAATATAACATTTGTGTAATGACGAGCATGGCTCAGTATATGCACTGTGTTTATAATTTTTTAAGAGCATCGTATTTCTTTTCCTACTATTCTGTTTGCTACTATCATGTCTGCTTGTGTCATGTTTGCTGATGTTTTGTTTTCAACTACACGCAACTTATACCACACATGCTTGCTTGCTGAAGATGCACAGCACCAAACTGGGTGTCTGGTAACGATATTACTATACCACCCACAACAACAACATCAGCAAGCTACAAAAACATCACCACGTTACATTACATTCAGTATCATCAACATTAAAAGCGTCATCAACAATAATTTGAACGGCAACGCTTGTGCCAGCAACCTTATCACACAAATAAAACACAAAGTAAACATAGTTCCAGAACTCGAGTTCAATTTGCATCTCAACTAACAACGACAACACAATCAGCAACACCAGAACCAACAACATCAAAGCCCAAAACTTGTAAAGTAAAACGACGAAAACAAAAAGAACACTGCCACCAATCAAGCGCGAATCTAGACAATTTTGACAGGAGAGGCTAACATTTTAAAATGTTTAAATTTTGAAATTTGCCAAGAACCTAGTCAAATTTCTACTGCTACTAGAGCCAAAATTTTGCTAGCGACTTAAAACTGTTTTCTTAATGTAAAAACTGAATTTTTTTGACTTTTTAAAAAAATCCTTCTCACCACGGCCTCCAGATCCGCCGCTGGTAGCAATTGTTTCAGCATGACCGGTCGACAAATGAAATTTCAGACCATGTCACAAGTTGGTTGACGGCAGGAGGCATGTTATAAATAGCATCAGCAACAACAAGCCTACTGTATAATGTAGTACGTGTGTGGACTCCACCTGAGTGAGTGAGTGAATGATGAGCTTGTTTTGATGATGATGATGATGGTGAAAGGTTTATGATGATGTTATACCAACAATAACAATAATGATAACAACGATGATGATAATAAATAATATAATAACAATGGTGATGATGAATAGTGGTGGTGATGGAAACGATGCGATAAATAAAATGATAGACTGGTGTAGAGAAGAGTAGTCAGCATTAAAACGTTTGGACGGACGAGAAAGATGAAGAATATAGTTTGTTGATTTCTCTGATGATGCAATATTGAAAATAAAACCTGACAATGATATGAGAACAATTATATGGTACTACATCTGTCACTATCTTTCTATCTTTTTATTCAATTTTAGAGGTTTATCTTTCTTTCACGATGAAAATGTCAATAACAAGACGTGACGATAACAAAACTGATAAAGACGATAGTCGGGATGAAATCTGATAGCTACGAAAAATAAAGAAAAATTGTATAAGGATTCGGATGAACCATGCGGTGATAATAAAATGATGAAAGATAAAATTAAACAACAAAAGTTGCACTGTGTTGGATGATGACGAGGATGATGAGGATAAAGAGTAAGATGTCAGTGGCGAGTAAGATGACCATGGTGGGTAATAAAATGGACATTAAATCTTTTGAAATCGCTGCATCAACTAAGCAGCCTCATGCTGCTGCTGATTTATGATGCTAGCCAAGTAACTCACACTTATGTGCTGGGATATATAAAAATCCTCTTTTAGGATAGCATTACATTGCTTTTGTCTGTTTAAACTTTTGTCTCTGTATCATTCTATTTTTTAATTTAATTTTCAATGTATCCGTCAATTCATAAGTTAATCTTTCATTCTCAGATATATGTCTATCTATTCATCTATCTATCTGTTTGTCTGTCCATACATCCATCTATCCATCCATTTCATAGGTTCAATTGTTCAGCCACCATTCTTTTGTCCAAACGTTTATCTATTTGTTAATTAATCCATCAATCTATCTTTTTTCATAAATAAGTGTATCATCGTTTATGTTCAATTGATTTATTTAACTAATGATTTTGTTCATTTATTTATATTTACATTTATTTACTCAACTATTAATACACCCTACATTCATCTATTCATCAATTCATCTACACATGCATTCATTCATCTATTTATACATTCATCCATCTATCTATCTGTTTATACATCCATAAATCCAGTCATCTGTCTATCCATTTGTTTATATATCTATCTGTTTATTTGTTTATACATCCATACATCCCATCCATTCATTTATGCATTCATTCATCCATCCATCTAGTTATATAATCATTACTCCATCCATCCATGTATCCATTTGACCATCTAGTTAAGTATCCATAAATCCATCCATGTATCTATTCATACATCTACTTATATATATATATATATATATCCATACATCCACCTTGTAACAACACTCATCCAACTAATAATATAATATATCCATCCATATGTCCATCCATGCATCCATTTATCTATCAAAAGTCTTCTCACATTAAATCTACTTAAGCGTTGTTTTCTCCCTTTCTATTTATAGCTTCAGCAGAATATATTAGCAAATGTTTAGGTAAGGCTGTTTACATATTTTCTTTTAGCATATCGTTACCTTTGTAGTTTGCGGGGTGATGCTAGGTCGAGGTTACGAAGATTTCATTTCGAAAATTATTTCTGTCTATAATTGTGAGAAAATTGGTTAACGATAAAAAAGTTTATTTAATAAAATTAATTAAAAAAAATTGTACATTCAAAAATTTTGTTATAAAATACCTGGGAGATTTTAATCGGGATTTTTGCGTTATAAACAAACAAGAGAAAAATTTATTTTAGAGTCGAAAACAAAAACTAAAAAAACTTGCAGTGAATGAACCGCGTGATATTTATAATATAAATATCCATGAGTAGAAGCATCGTAAGAAAAATTGACGTCATTTTTATGCAAATGTTTGTGGTATGTTATGTTGGCCTTATGTTTGCAGCACATACAAAAACATGTTTGCCGGCTTATATTTGTTTATTTTGTGTGGAGTTATTTCTTTTTTAATTCAGTCAAACATAATTTTTTTCATTACTGTGGGTTCGTGGTGAGTGTTTATTTGTAGATGTTGATGCATATTTCTATGACTATGTTTACGGGTATTTGCATTTATTTAATTGCGTTTGCATGTATGTGTGCTAGTATGTGTGTGTATTTCCATGTATTATGATGTGTGTATGCATGTATGGGTGTGTGTGTTTGTTTGTGTCTGTGTGTTTGGATGTGTGTGCGCGTGTGTGTTTGACGAGCATGTGTTGTAATGATATGCGACACCACTTCAGAATAACAATGAACTCTCACACTGGCATAGTCCCGTGTTATTTGACACGTTCGATGGTGCTGCTATATAAATGGATTCACCATTGCTATATCGTTTGCATGAGTGAGTGAGTGGATGAATGATTGATTGAAAGAAGTAACAAATGAGTAAACCAACTAACAATTGAATCAATCCATCAAATTAATCAGTAAACATTCAAAACAATGCTTAAATTAATTAATCGACCGATGGATAAATGAACAAACAAAACAAGGTATCCAATCTGGTTTACTGTCATTATGTAGGTTTTCGCGCATATATCTTTGGGTTCATGTCTGTATATAGGTTTGTATGTATGTTTGTTCGTTTGTATGTATGCATGTTTGTCCTCTTGTTTGTTTGTATGCATGTTCATTCTCTTGCTTGTTTGTATGCTTGTGTGTCTGTATGTAGGTTTGTGTGAACGTATGTAAGTACATGTAAATTTTTGGATGCATAGTTGCACGCAATTTTTTTTCTGTACGTAAGTTTCGTTTCTTCCGTTCCGTTATTAATTTTATTCCGAGAATATTACAATTATTTATTAAAAAGTTTTTCGTTTCCAGCCGCTGCTACCACCATCATCATCTTCTGCATCATCGTCTTTATCACATTCATCATCTTTTTCATCTTCGTCCTCATCGTCATCTCCTTCATTATCTCAATCATCTTCATCATCGTGATTGTCATCTTTCTCATTGGTACTAATAACAATGTACATTCTCACTTTCATCATTATCAAAATAATAATAATAATCATAATAATAATAATCATAATAATCATCATCATCATAATCATCATCATAACCATCATCATTATCATTCTCACCATCATCATCATTTTGTCCATCATTATTATCACTCTACAATGCGTTTCTAATACATCACATTCCATTCACATCACTTCATCAAATAAATAATCATTTACATCCGAAAAACAACACAACCACTCCTTCTTCCTAATTGAGGAAAATTATGAAATGTCCAATGAATGGTACATCAAAACTGTCGTTGATTAATTTTTACAGTGTTGAATTTCTATGCGTCCATCCAGACGTACATGTGAAATTGAAACAATTTCTTTCAATCATGAAAAACATTTATTTTCTCTACATACTCAGTCATCTGTTACTTGAGAAAATGCTAAAAAAAGTAGGACAATGTAAGTTATAAAAATTTAAATAAGAAAGAATTAAATTAATATATTTTACTAATTAATTAATTAATTAATTAATTATTATATATTGGAATGAGGTAAACACAAATTATCGACTTAGCCAACTCTTGTAATGCTAAATAGACGCACGTGAGATTTGTTTTGTTGTCTGCCTGTCGATACCATATCATCCCATCACATGCATCACTACACATCAAAGGGTAACTTCTATCTAATTTAATATCTCTGTTATTTGAGAATGCTAGTAATATATATATATATATATACATGTATATGTGTTGTGTTTGCATGTGCATGTATGTTTGTATGTGTATGTATGTATGTACGTATGTATGTATGTATGTATGTATGTATGTATGTATGTATGTATGTATGTATGTATGTATGTATGTATGTATGTATGTATGTATGTATGTATGTATGTATATATGCATGTATGTATGTATGTATGTATGTATGTATGTATGTATGTATGTATGTATGTATGTATGTATGTATGTATGTATGTATGTATGTATGTATGTATGTATGTATGTATGTATGTATGTATGTATGTATGTATGTATGTATGTATGTATGTATGTATGTATGTATGTATGTATGTATGTATGTATGTATGTATGTATGTATGTATGTATGTATGTATGTATGTATGTATGTATGTATGTATGTATGTATGTATGTATGTATGTATGTATGTATGTATGTATGTATGTATGTATGTATGTATGTATGTATGTAA